CCCTCTCCAATGCGTCCACATCCTTTCTGTAGTGGGGGCCCCAGAACTGGACACACTACTCCAGACGTGGCCTCACCACAGCCAAATAAAGGAATAATCACTTCTCTGGATCTTCTGGCAATGCTCCTCTTAATGCACCCTAATATGCCATTTGCCTTCTTGGCTACAAGGGCGCCCTGTTGACTCATATCCAACTTCTCATCCACTGCAATCCCCAGGGCCTTTTCTGCAGAACTGCTACTTAGCCATTTGATCCCCAGCCTGTAACAATGCTTGGGGTTCTTCTGTCCCAAGTGCAGGACTCTACACTTGTCCTTGTTGAACCTCATCAGATTTCTTTTGGCCCAATCCTCTAATCTGTCCAGGTCACTCTGGACCCTATCCTTGACCTCCAGCGTATCTATCTCTCCCCCTAAGCTTAGTGTATCCACAAACTTGCTGATGGTGCAATCCATCCCCTCATCCAGGTCATTAATAAAGATGTTGAACAAAATCGGCCCTAGAACAGATCCTTGGGGCACTTCACTAGAAATCGACCGCCAACCTGACATCGAGCTGTTGATCGCTACCTGTTGGGCCCGACAGTCTAGCCAGCTTTCTGTCCACCTTACAGTCCATTTATCCAATCCATATTTCCTTAACTTGCTGGCAAGAATGTTGTGGAAGACTGTATCAAAAGCCTTGCTAAAGTCAAGGTATATCACATCCACGGACTTCCCCATGTCCACTGAGCCAGTTACCTCAGCATAGAAGCTAATCAGATTGCTCAGGCACGACTTGCCCTTTGTGAATCCTTGTTGACTAATCCTGATCACTTTCCCCTCTTCAAAGTGCTTCAAAATGGATTCCTTGAGGATCTCTTCCATGATTTTTCTGGGGACTGAGGTAAAGCTGAGTGGTTTGTAGTTCCCTGGATTGTCCTTCTTCCCTTTTTTTTTTTTTTTTTAAAGGTGGGCACTACATTTGCCTTTTTCCAGTCATCCGGGATCTCTCCCGATCTCCACGTGTTTTCAAAGATAGTGGCCGAACATTCTGCAATGACATTTGCTAACTCCCTCAGAACACTCGGATGCATTAAAGCCAGACCCATGGATTTGTGTATGTTTAGCTTTTCTAAATAGTTTTTAACCTGTTCTTTCTCCACCGAGGGCTGTCCACCTCCTTCCCATATTGCTTTGCCTAGCGCATTAGTCTGGAGCTGACCTTGTCCGTGAAGACCGAGGCATTGAGTACAGTAATTCCTCATTTAACACTATAGATATGTTTCAGAAAATGATCGTGTTAAGTGAAAACGTGTTATGCGGTGTCAATTTTAGGGTGGCACCTGCTGGCTGCAGAGCACAGACAAGGGCAGTGCTTACTGGTTTTCTATTCACCGCCTCTGAAAGGGAGCACAAAAGACACTCGTTTCCTGGTTTGTATATAACCGTTCTACTGAAGGGAGGAGCACTTTATACCACTGAGTACGTTTTCTACTTGGAATGTGAATGCTTAACTGGTTATGGATAATCAGTGGGCTGGAGCAGCCCCCCACCTACCCCCATTTAATTGGTCAACCGATTACACGTAATGTTTAACTGATTAACTGAGAATCTTCATTGCAAGTACCTTTTCCCTCTTAATTGGCGAAGCATCACCATTTATGCAGCCTTTATTTCCACATCTCACTAGCTCGGGCAGTGACACAGGGCTCTTTGTGTTCACCTGGTTCTTGTGCAACACACTCTTGCGCAATCCCCTATCCCCTCTGCCCCACTCATTCTTAAGGGTGTGCCAGAGCAAGAGTTTGTAGAAGCTGTAGGAAGAGGAGTTTTGTGCACTCGCTTGATAAGTTTGAACAACAATCCCTATTGAAATCTCAATATTCTCCTGCCTTTTGCTTGTGGCATCACCAGAAAGTGTAAAAAATAAAACAAAAAATAAATATCTTTGAGACTATATTAAATTGAAATAGCCGATCTAGACTTTACTAACAACGATAAAGTTAGCATTTCGGATAGCTATTAAAAAGTGTGAAGTGATTTCTATAAATCTCAGAGCTGGTTTTTTTTAAGACAGCATGTCAAAGCTGTTCCCAAAATGCATGTGTCATCATTTGATTGCTTTATTTCCAAATGAGGGCTCTGTCAGAATGTAAGTCTCATAGTAATAAATGTTCTGATCCTACAGCTAAGGAGGAAATTGATTTGTACCTTAACTTACGAAGTCATTTCAACACATTCGCCTTTGGAACTGAAAGGCAAACCTCACTGTAGAGTAACACCCCAATAAATTGTAGGTAATAACGAGGACAGCGTGAAAAGAATTAGAAAATATGAATAACTCTGTCCTGCCAGTATTTTAACATTAGCTTTGTTATAAAACGGTTGTTTCTGTAGTATGGCAAAAATCACACCCTTGTACAGCCACAAGATGGCATATGTGCTACCATCCCATAAAAATGTATCAGCCTGAGATTGGGCTGTTGGCATTATTCATAGAGTGGAGGAGCTATGACGTTTACACATCATCCCTAATAAGTGCAAATAAACACAACTATCATAGCTACTTTTCTGTGGCCCTTTCTAACTCTCCAGCAATCGAAACGGAGCCCTGACGTGGAGCTGGTAAGTGCCCTGGAGCTAATGCACCGGCTGCATAGCACTGCTTGCCCTGGTACAACACACTAAGGAAGCCATAGGCAGATTTTGCTTAGCTCTGGTTGGTAAATGCCCTTGAGTTTCATAGAGCTGGAAGAGACCTCAGGAGTCATCAAGTCCAGCCCCCTGCCCAAACCAGGACCAATCCCAACTAAATCAACCCAGCCAGGACTTCAAAACCTCTAGAGATGGAGATTCCTCCCCCTCCCTAGGGAACCCATCCCAGCGTTTCCCCACCCACCTAGGCTGCATGTAGACTGGCAAGTTGTCTACGCTGGCTGTTTGAATTTCCACAAGAACACTGACTTCCTACTGTCTGAAATCAGTGCTTCTTGCGGAAATGCTGTGCTCCTCCCGTTCGGGGAAAAGCCCTTTTCCGGAAATGCTTTTGCGCAAAAGGGCCAGTGTAGACAGCTGAAAACTGTTTTGTGCAAAAAAGCCCCGATGGCAAAAATGGCGATTGGGGCTTTCTTGCACAAAACCGCGTCTAGATTGGCACGGACGCTTTTCCACAAAAAGTGCTTTTGTGGAAAAGTGTCCGTGCTAATCTAGATGCTTTTTTCAGCAAATGCTTTTAACAGAAAATCATGCCAGTCTAGATGTAGCCCTAGGGAAATAGTTTTTCCTAATATCTAACCTAGACCTCCCCCACTGTAACCTGACCCCATTGTCATCTGCCACCACTGAGAACAGCCTCTCTCCATCCTCTTTGGAACCTCCCTTCAGGCAGTTGAAGGCTGCTATCAAATCCCCCCTCACTCTTCTCTGCGGCAGACTAAACA